AAAAGGCTTAGGCTAAAATCTGGGTTTATTCTATACTGACTGATGGTGCCAGTGTGTGTGTTCGTGTGTGTTGGACTTGTTAGGACCAGCTTACCTGCTTACCAATATCGTAAACTAACACTGAAATGAAAACGGACACTAAATAAAAGAAAATAATTCCTGAACTGAAATAAAAATGAAAACCAAATTTACGAAAAAAAAAAAGCGTCTGACTTTAATTTGTACCACCAACGACCAATATCTTTTTACATTCTTTAACCACAGTATCTCCTCTTTTAAAATATGTTGTGGCTGCTGATCTGTCTTTTCCTTCATTGCGACTTCAGTGCTTATCTTGTGTCACATGTGACCTACTCCACTAACCAAATTTATTAAGCATGAGGATATACACAAAATTTATACAGATTATTAACTTCTGGGCATCACAATATGATCTCAACAGTATTTTTAGGCATACTACCAATTTGCTTATCAAATCGTGGTTGAAAATAATGTCCGCAGTGTGCCGAAAAGCCAGTGTACATTATCTAAAGCCCTGCAATGGCTGACAGTTTGTTTGATTGTCAAAATAAAATTAACTTAAATATTAAAATTAACTTAAGACTGATTTTCTGGAGGAAAATTAAAATGTTCAGATTAAATCAACCAAACGATAAAATAGTAGATAGATTAATCTATAGAAAATTATTTGTTAGTGGCAGCCCAACAAATAATAAAGTTCTAAAGCAGGGGTCTCAAACTCCAGTCCTGGAGGGCTGGAGCCCTACACATTTTTGGGTTTCCCCTCATTTAACACATCTAATTCAAGTCCTTGTGCTAATTACCACACAGCTCTTAAGCTGAATCATTTGTGGTGGAAAAGGGAAAGAACTAAGCTACACAGGACTCTGGCCCCCCAGTAGCCCTGTTCTAAAGCATCATTTTTTTTGTCATCTGTAAAGATGACAATGACAATGCTGCCATCTGCTGTACCGAAGCGGTATGGTAACTCAATATAATTTTAAAAGTTGTGCAGCAATAACATGATCAATGAGATTCTCTCTGCAAACTGTGACTCAGACAGCATTTTTTTTTTTATCTCACAACATTAAAATCTTGTAAGAGAGGTTTTCCATCCTACCTGGCCTCTGATGAACCACATCTGATCACAGGCAGATCATAACTCATCAGGTGGGATAGAAAACCAGCTGGATGATGGCACTTCAGGTTCATGGTATACACAAATGCCGACAGGGCACGAGGCACTGAAAAGGCCTTCAATTTGTTTTTCAATCTCTGCTGAGGACAGAAAGAGACTGAATAGGCTGATCCGGAGAGCCAGCTCTGTTCTAGGATGCCCTCTGGATTCAGTGGAGGTTGTGAGTGAGGAGAATGGTGGTTAAGCTGTCATCCTTGTTGGATAACATCTACCACCCCATGCAGGAGACTCTGAAAGCACTGAGCAGCTCCTTTAGTGGCAGGCTCCTGCATCCAAGATGTGGGAAGGAGAGATTCAGAAGTTCTTTCCTTCCAACCGGTGTCAGACTCTACAACAAAGTCCTTGCAGCTGACCACACGCACTTTGACTAACAAACACACACATCCAATACACCATGGTAGTTTCTATGTGCAATATTTCTCATGTGCAATATTAGTTCTTGTCAATGCATGTCACTCCATTGCGTGCCTGTCCATATATATATTTCTTCAGTGTTGTACATATATTTATATGTCCACTCTGTACATAATATACATACATACACTCTATTTATACATACATACATTTATCTAAGATTACATATACATATATACTCAGCAAAAAAAGAAACGTCCCTTTTTCAGGACTGTGTATTTCAACAATAATGCTCTAAAAATCCAAATAACTTTACAGATCTTCATTGTAAAGAGTTTAAACAATGTTTTCCATGCATGTTCAATTAACCATAATCAATTAATGAACATGCACCT